GCAACCCCGTAATAACTGGAAAGTGTTCAGAGTCGCCTCCTACTGTCCTAACCCGAGTCTTAGGACGAAGACATATAATAAAATATAATAATAAAATAAAATACATATAATAATTAAATTTATATGTTGAAATATACACTAAAATGAGAAGGAAAAAGAAAGAAAAAAATGGTTACTCTGTTCTGGACTGGAGAAAGAAAGAAGAAGAAGAAGAAAGAAAAAAGAAAAAAACAAGAAGAACTGAAGAAGAAAGGAGAAGAAGAAATTACCTGGGTCCTAGACTGGTCGAGCCGCGAGCGAGAAAGGAGAAGGGGTCGAGCTCGAGCGAGAGAGAAAGGGTCAGCAATGGCATCTCTATTTTCTCGATGTTCAGCTTCAGGAGGTAAAATACTAGGTTTTGTGACTCTGTTTTGTCGAAGACTGTTTTGTCGAAGGGGAAGGGGTATTTTTGTCGATTTAGGGGTCTGTTTTGTATAATAGAAAAATAGCCCCAAATTTTTTTTTAAAAAAACTGGCCCTCTGCGCTTATACAGAAGCGATCGCTTCTTCGCTTCCATCGTTTCGTCGCTTCGTCGATTTCGCCATTGAAGCGTGCGCTTCCACAGATCGAGCCGCCTCAGGCAGCTAGAAGCGACACTGGGTCGCGTCACGTCGCGCTTAAAGCGACGAAGCGCACGCTTTTCTAAACACTGCTTCACAATCATCATCCGTCCCCTCCGTCTCTTCTTCATGAGATACACTGCCACAATTATTAACACCAGCATCCTCCTTGCCCTTAATAGTTACGATCACACTACTACCACCTCCATTAACACACGGAAATAAATACCCCAATGAATGCCCAAACAACATGTCCTACCAAAAACATCCTTTGCATAAGGATACCATTTTTTTAATTAAAGATAGTGCCTGAACTAGCTTGCACACGTTTCGACTAATTCCACCGGGTACCTACTACCTCCCACTAGGACAAGTACCGGGTAATTCTATCCACCAAAGCATAGACAGATGAGAGAAATACCATATCACGAGAAATTAAATTAAAATAAAATAAATTGGTGGAAGAATTCAAAGATGTGTCTCTCAACATAAAATTACATTAACAAAAGAGTATTGTATCCACCCCACCATACGATCCATCCACATCAAGGAAAGGGGATCAATTTGTGTAGGGATTTCTTAGTAAGAATTTGATGGTTGATTTTGTGGTGCATGAATGCGGGTTTCTATTTTCACGACAAGCTCGTTCTTTTTACAGATAATTATTGGGTTTTCTGTAAAAGTAGATGAACGAAAAAATATAATTAGGGGACGTATCTTGTGAATGGGTGTGAAAAAGTAAGGATTGCGGTGTAACATAAGGATCATGGTTTTTGGTGGCGTTTGTTGAAGAGGGTAACAGAGGTGATGATGATAGAGGAGGGAGATGAGGAAGGGCTAGTGATTATGGAGGGGGGAGGAAATGGTGGTAGCGTTCGTAACAATAGTAAAGGGGAGGAGGAAGAGGAGCGGTAGGAGAGGGGAGGATAGTAGGACAAGGGGATAAATGGAAATTGTTTCCACCGTGTAAAAATTATTCCCACATGGAAGCCATATGGTGTCATAAGATCCATGTCAACCCCACTAGTCCATCTAGGAGGGTCGCTAGTGACAGGGACATAAATGACCCCATCTTTAACGGCGAGGGCATCTATGAGCCGATAGGCTTAAAGAGTATATTTAACCCAAATTGCAGAAGATAAGGGCAAATTTTGACTTTTCCACCTTGATATTTTATTCATATTAAATCGTGAGAGTTAAAGAACCAAAATTATTAAATACATGAATGAAGTCCAAATGGAACCTAATTGTGAGAAATTGTACCGCCGACTCCAACTAGCTCAGGTTTGAGGCGCGTTCTATTCTTGTTGCAAGAGCATTTGAAAATAAGGTTAAAAATACATGTTTTAATTTGTAATGGCAATATTCAGGATTTGAATCAAAAGTGTACGGAATTAATACGTTCTTTTTGTGGTAAAGAATTGTCAACTAAATAGAAGCTATATAGAAGTTCGGAACAAACAAGAACAAATATATAGTACCTCAACTCACGGTTTTTTCCCTCGAAGCAGAGCATCAACACTTCTTTCGGTCTGCATTTTGTTCCAGGAAAAGAAAAAAGCTATTAGGACTTAAAGGGTGTGTCTAGTGATCAATGAACTGGGAGGAGACCATGAGGTTTCAGGTTCAAATCCTACGGAGGCAAAAAATACTAGGTGATTTCTTCCCATTTGCCTAAGCCTTGGTGGGCAGAGTTACCTGGTACCTATGCTGGTGGGAGGTAGCAGGTACCCGAGGGAATAGTAGGGGTGTGTACAAGCTGGCCCAGACACCACCACCGTAAAAAAACTCGAATAGTCGCCAGAAAGATTACAATGGATAAAGTTATGGCATTTAAGTCATAGAATTCCTCTCACCCCTAGCAGTGAAAGAACCTATATCACTCTTTGACAATAAGCTAGTTGCAAGAAGAACAAACAAGGGGATCAAAGAGGGTTATCACAAAAAACAAGGGGATCAAAGAGGAGGGAAATATGTGCCAACATGTCCATATGGAGGCATTGCTGTCTAGCATGTGATATTTTCTATATTAAAAAACTATTGCCTCATATTAGTGACTAACCCGGTGCAAAACCCAGGAGTGTCTCTCCCTTATTTCAATCAAAAAGGGAAAGGGCGATGGAGCTTTCCTCTCAAGAACACTTTTACTGCAATTCCTGATTCGTGCTTCCTGATCACTTAGAGTCACAGTTACCACTCCTCCAATCTGTAAGATTCGACAATTGAAGAGGTCAGAAAGGTTTCACTTACATAAGTATGAAGTGTAATTCTGTGAAGAGACACTAAATGTAGAGAAAATACTAAGGCAAACAAGAAATGATCTAGATTGAGAGATAAATCTGTAGTCATTGCAAGCTCCAATGTCCTTTTGCTTTTAAAGAAGAAAACAAACAGATATATCCAAATAAACTATAGGAAGTCAGAGAAAATACAGAAGTTTGAAATCCAAGTTAAAATCCAATATTAGACCCTCCCCCACCCCCAACCCAACTAAAAAGCCAAAATCCAATATTAGATCAATAAATTGTAAGTGTTTAGTTGTACTTTGTTGTACACGATATGGGCGGGCGCGTGAGATACTCATTGGATTTGGTCAATCTTAGGTGCTTCGACTACACCTATGGCCAAGAGATATAGGTTGATTTGCTATGCGGTTTGACTTCAGGTGTACGTCATATATATGTACATATTCACACAAAGTATTAGAACACCTTGCTATTATACGAAATAACTTATGAATAAGAGTAAGTACTTACAAAGAATTTAATTTTACTAGCTTTAATTCAATAACCTCAATTCCAAATCCTAAGATTTAGGTGATAACAAATCCGACTTCTAGATTCACACTTATGTCAGGTGCCCACTCCCATATCCGAGAAACAAAGGTTCTCTACATCTTTATGCCTATCCTAAAACAACATAAATCACTTATATTTCCTACAAATTTCTGATGCTCGGGAAAATCAATAAAAGAATTGAGAAAGGCAAATATAAATTGGATATATATTCCCATAATCCAAACCAGCAATTTGCAATTCATGTCTAACTACCTAAAGAAGAAATTTCCAATTATTAAACTAATCTAAACAAAAGAAAAAGGGACAAAAAACTTTAACCACCAAAAAAAAAGGAAAAACATAGTGCCCTTTGGTCAGAGTTAGGTCTATGTAGAATATTATGAAACACTAAGTCTGAATTCTATACTGAAAGGATTTCCATGTTCAACGAGAGCATTGACAACTATAATTAAAAGGACTGTTGTGATCACCAAGGCCCCCATCCTTCCAACGCTCAACTTAGAAGAACCGGCTAAAAAAGGAATCCCAGTGCCTTGAAAGTGGAGGCCGAGAAGACACATGCTTTTATCAACCATCTTTTAGATGCATTTAAGAATGACACTGCAATGTCCCAGAAGCAGAAATGAGGATTAAAGATATACTGATATGTCTTCAGCTTCGTTTGTGTTTCACCTAATGGAATGAAGGAGAATAAGTAACAGTAACAGAGAGCTTGATATAAATAGAAAAAGAAACTGACGGATTGATATTAGAGCAAAGCACCTGGAGTTAGTTAAATAGGCAATAAAAAAACTGGAGATGGAATTCATCACCCCCACCTAACAATCCTAAGAAAGTAAAACAAGAAAAGGAAAACTAAGTAATACTAAGTCCGATGACCACTTAGGATGACGAAAGCCCCACAGAAATCCTGAGACGTATCTGCTTAAAGACCGAAGCATGTATGCCTGAATGAAAAGCTACACAGGTAACTCTTTTTCCTTTCAGATGGTTGTAGTGAGGAGGATAAGAGATCATTTTGTAAGTGGGAAAAAGATTTGTACCCCTATAGGGAAAGGGGCCCTGAGAATATCAAGTAAGTAATAAACCAGAATTTTGGAGATTTAGTAGAGAGGAAGGCAAGCATTGAACAAAGTCGATGAATGTAAGCTTAGGTGGTTTTATGGGGATTGGATTTAAAGAGAAGCTGGAGAACCTTATTGCCGAAGCTGGAGAAACTTATGGTCGAAGCTTGTTGAGCGGATAAGACAAGTTTTATAATATCTACCTGTCGTTCAATTTAAGGTTGGAGATGATAGGAGAATGGTTTTGCGGAAGATTAATGGAGCAAGGGACTCTTAATAACATGTACCCAGTTCATACCCTGGTTTCTAAGCAGCATACCACAGTCCAGGCTTCTTTGTGATTGTAAAGTAGTGAATTATTTTAAATCCCACATTAACAAGAACGAAATATTGAAATTTCTTCTTCCAATTCATGCATTAGTCTAATTGGAGACTTGAAGTACTGGATACTTCGCTGTCGAGAGCTGCTGATAGTGGCATCCTTTAACTAAAGTCATTTTTCTTCGGCCCCTTAGCGATCTGGCAACTGCGAAGTGCGAACTCCCTTGGAGAATGATACAGAGAAAAGCATATGTTCTAACAGAGCTTCCTTTTGTTGCTTCAGAAGCTACATGGTAATCTCTATTGACAGGTGACAGCATCCATAAGAAGAGAAGTATTCATGTGAGTGTCGTCTCTGTAAGAAGGCACAGGAGAAAGACAATCATATTTTGCAGTTGTGCTTCAGCTTGTAAACATCTGATGTTCATTTCTTGGGTAGTCAATTAGTTGAGCCATCATCAGTTAAAGAGTCTCAGATTTTCAATGGATGGTTACTATATACCATTTTTCTTAATTGGTGGCTCATTAGTTCGTAGTGTACTAGCACCTTAAGAGGTCATGCTTATTCTTGGTAATCTTGATGATGGAATGCCCCCTCGGTGCCTTGTCTAATGGAATACTCTAACTACATTTGTCAAAAGAAAAAAACACACATAAATATTATCAGTTCTTTCTTCTTTATTTTTGGATAATTGAGAGATCCCGGAGGGCCACTGGTGCAAGATTGAAATTCGGTCGATAATAGACTCCCTCTAGCCTTCTCCACTTAAATACCAGGCTTTTGTCTACACAAGGTTTGCCTAACCCAGACATCACATGTTGTGTTCTTACCCCTAGACCAAACCCCTGGGGCTACACAAAAAAAAACTATCCGTTGAAATAGAAAAGTTTAATACTAAATCTAAACGACTGAAAAATTTCTTAGATCGCCTCTTTAAATCAAAGAGATACAAAACAATATACTTGCTTACCATTAGGCAACAAAAAATAGATACAAGAAGATAAATAAATGATATTCAAATGATGCTGATATGGATTGTTGTGTAGGACAGTAAAATAGAGAAGATTGCTTCTTTTATTAAGGAAGTAATAAGGAGTTCAATACATACCAGATCACACAGAGTAGGATTCTTAATAATATTCACAAGCTGCTCGCCATGAGCCGTACCAATAAGCATAACTCCTCTCTCAGCAATTGTACGGCAAGCATGAACTTCAGCTTCAGTGCCAATCTCATCTATAATGATCACCTCAGGCATGTGATTCTCCACAGCCTCAATCATAACTTGATGCTGCATCGACGGGTCTGGAACCTGCAATCTTCTTGCCCCTCCTATTGCAGGGTGCGGAATATCCCCATCACCTCCTATTTCATTGCTTGTGTCAACAATAACCTGTCACAATGATCTAAGATGTAAAAATTTCTTTCAGTAGCATCACAATAAACAAAACAGTAAATAAGATTAGAAACAAAATCAGGAAAGCGAAACCATAAAGCCAATTGCAACGGTTAGTTAACAAACCACTCTTTTATGAAGTTCATCTGACAAGACACGAGATATCTCTCGCACAACTGTAGTTTTACCAACACCAGGCCTGCTAAAATCAAGAGAGACAAATCAGAGAGAGACAGAATCATATTTACAGGATAGCAAGGTCTATTCAACTGCGATGAAGCCTGATGTTTATCAGCTTAGTTGGCCAACTTAGAAAAGATTAAGCCACAAGCAAGTTCAATAGTTCCACTTGAGCTCATATTAGGAACCAGTTATCCAAAATCATAGGGAAAAAATTTGTGGGCATCATGGTTGATATTATGCCAAAGAAAAAAGAGGGAATAGGGAAAGAAAAAACATTGTATGTATCACGGTTGATATTGTTCCGACCATAATTTTGCCTCCTAGGTTAGACCAAAGCTACAAATGAGTACAAGTTAACTCATTATCTCGAATCAGATAGGCCAGAAGGTAAGCTGCTTGGCTTCAACTAATTGCCTTAGCAAGTTCACATTCAATGACAACTTTCCAGGCCTCCAAAAAGCAATAGCTGCTGGACTGCTTAAAATAACACAGCATGCACTTGCTAAATCCACTTGATACCTAACTCATCTGGTTAACCTTGGAAATTGTGGCGGCTTTAATTGGAGTTTTATTCAGTATGTTGAAATGCATGAAAATCTTGCACTGCTAGAGAAGGGATACAGTTATTAGCTAATTTAGGTATGCAACATACCCTCTCATGTGAACACATGGAAATCCTTTTGATAATGGTGGCGGTAAGACTGAACTTAGGACCATTGCCTGCTCCAAAACTAGTGTTTTTAGTAGCGAAAGCGCAGTAAAGCGACAAGGTCCATGGTGCATGAAGCGAAAAGTGAGAAGTGACACGCTCCTTTAAAGTGAAACACGCTTCTTCAAAGTGAAGAGCTTAGTTTATGAAGAATTAAAAAAATACATACGTACGAATTTAGTACTACAATATTAAAATTTTCATGATATAGCTAATTTTAATATCAGATATACAATAATGCCGATATTAACCCAACTCCTCAAAGTTGAGATCAAACGAATTGACAATTTCTCATAGGGATCACTTTGCGCGCCGTTGTTTGAAATGCACAGTTATCTGAAGCGCATGGTACGCCTATGAAGTGATGGCCCTTCGCTTCGTATCGCCAACATTTTAAGCAACAAAGTGATGGCTTTCAATGACGTTGCTGATACCATGTTAAAATGTGCTACTACCACAAATAAAAACTCCACTTGTTAGAGAATGAACATAACTATTTGTTTATTTACTTTTAGGTCAACAACAGATGGTAAAGACATAATTAAGTAAATAAAAGTGTGTCCAATCTAACAACTTACACTTTTAGATAAGGTGGCTACCCAATTCAACCAGGTATCAGACAAAAATCTCGCGTACAAGATTCACTGCTATGCATTATCAAAAAGAAATTCCAATTTTTTTGCCCATGAAAAAGGATGCCCACATGAGTGGGCTTGTCGAAAACACAGAGATTATAAGGACAATGATAATGTTCATGGTGCAGTCCGGATTTCAAAACCACAAATAAACAATTTGACTATAAGAGTTTTATGAGAACTATTATAACTCACAAATCTTCCTGTGATATGCCATTTTGCTTCTGAGGTGACATATTATGCTCACTTACCGTCCAACAAACAAAATGCTCTCACCAAAATCAAGCAAATCCCGCACCATGTCAATCTGTCCCCTGGCCCTGCCGACTCGGCAAGTCAAACCAATGACTTCCCCCTTTCTATTCCTAATTGCAGAAATGCGATGCAAAGTACCCTCAATGCCAGCTCTATTATCTCCTCCAAATTGTCCAATTGACTTGAGGACAAATTGTATTTCTTCCATAGAGACCTGATTAAAAGAAGAAACATATATAACTAAGCTCTTCTAATAATCTCCTAGCATCCAGTTGTTACTTTTTGAGTTCCTTCAGCAAAAGACGAATAAGAGTCAAGATTTAGACATAACTAAGTTCTTCTGACAATCTTATAGTGTTCAGTTGTTTTGTATTTCCTTAAAAACATATTTTTTGAGTCACTCTAATACATTCATCGGATAAACAATTCAGCATTAAGGTTCAAGACCACTACTTTCTTTCCTTTTCCTTTTCACTTCCTAGTATACTACAATATGCTTCCAGTGCTCCTAAGCAAGAAGTGCACTAGTCATCATCATGACAAGAAACGCTTCGATATTTTCATACAGCAGAGTAACTTTAATACCTTTAATGTTTACCTCAGTGTTTCGGAGGTATCGCCTACCAGAGTCATCTGTGTAGTGCGCTTGCGGCAAACAGCCCAAATCTAACATCACCTATAAAGATTGCATAATAGTTATCATGCAATAAAAATTACTGATAAACTATGTCATAATAAGAAGCTTATTCCGTCAAATCTTGAAAAGCATATCTTCTGAAACTTGTTAGTTGTAAGCAGATCAATCTAGTCAGATTACAAAGATGATAATTTGCAGAACACTGATCATATTTTTTCAGAAAGAGACCTCCTTGACACCAGAATATCAGCAAAAGATACCATCATCTTTTGTAGGCGCAGTTAAGTTGCTAGCATGGTGACACTATAACGCTAGCAAATCAAGATCATTTCAGTAAGATTTAAGGCAAATCAATCACTTAATTTGCTATTCAAGAGATAAAGTGACTGAAGCTAAAACCAACAAGGAGAAATCCAGCAAAACTAGTCTTATTTCCTCCTTTTTCGAAGATACCTCGAGTAGTTGATCTTGGCTGGGGTCACACAAAAGCGTGTCCCGTAAGTCGCAGGGCAGAATCTGCAAAAAGAAGAAAAGGAAAAAAATAATTGAAGTTCATCTTGAAGCACGATATTCCATTACATAAAGCAAATATATAGATAATACAACTGCACTAGAGATCAAAATCAAAGTATGCATAAGTGACCCTCCAACCCCAGCTATCCAGCCCTTTGTTTGGGAACAAATTACACAAATTACAACGAAATATAAAAACCAATTTGCCACTGCAATGTGCATAGCCCTCTAAACCTGAAATATAAACAAGTAAACCATTCCACACTAATAAATTTAAGGGAGGCAAGATGATTCTTGTGCAACACTCCTTGAAGCAAGTGAAGTTTTACTTCGTGTATACACTTAGAATCACCTCAAAAGTTTAAAATAGAGGAAAAAGTTCACTCTTTAACAAGTAATTACCTCATTTAATCAAACATATCCCATTTGTAGTAGTCACTATCCCATATTCATGTTTTACTCCTAATAACTACTTAGTTCCATTATTAACTTTCTCATAGGTTTTTGTGTGTTTGGTATCAGAAAAGTTCATTTTCTCATTGCGAAACCAGCTCGACAAATTTCATTAGGAAAAATAGAAAAATCTCAAGTACTCCATCGCGTTCCAAATTTTATCATCAAACTAGTAGGAGTCAGTAACGTGAATCAATAACACTAAACTTCAAATCCAACTAGTTGGTATATCTATATAGATACCAATTCATAATTAAATAAGAAAAATTTTGCATCAAAATTGAGAGTAGTAAAATGTATGATTTCTCCCTCAATTTCACTTCAAACTTTAAAATCTAGCTGACATTTCAACCAAAGTGTATATTTTTTCCTCTTCCTTCCCTTTCTAGCATCTTTACAAAAGCACATTCTCTCAATTTAAGACTAATTATACAAACTCACATTACTAGAAACAAAAAAAATATATACACAAAAGAGAGAAGAAGTACCTGAAAGAGGGAATTCATATCATCTTCAGCATGAGTATTACAAGATGAAAGGTCTGCTGAAGTAGCATAAACTACACATAGTTTTCTTCCGGCAAGAGAAGGGTGGCTAAGACTACGCATCAACGGTCGATAATGTGAAGAACTGAAGAAGCGAACCTTTCTTCTTTTTATGGCTGGACTAATGACACTTGCGACTGCAGACATCAATAAGCTAGAGCCCATTTCGCCTAATAAGTTTCGACCAATTTCTCAGTTCAGTTGCTGTTCACTCCATTAAATCAAGATTATGCCGAATTGCACGGGGTGTTGTATTTTTTTTTTCTTTTTTTCAGGCGGAAGTTGAATTATAGAGTTGGAAATAAAGTGGTCTTATCCGAGGGTGAATTCTTGGCTAGTCTTATTTCCACGCGTGTTAGTTTTTGGGGCAAAATGAAATACACTTTTCCCTGCCTCTTAATTTATGTGAGGGAAATTAGAAGACTTGTCCATTTATAACTAGTTCATTATAAAAATTGGTCAATTCACAAAATATTATTAATATTAGCTAATTAATTATTTGTAGCAAAAAAATTCAAATTTTTGCTTTCTTTTGAGTGGGTATTATTAGAATAGATTATGTATATTTTAAGGAGTCTGAATCTCAATTTTAGGATGACTTGGTGAAGTTTTGAGGTGGTTTGAATTGAAAATTCGAGGTAAAAATCGAACATGAAAAAAATTATTTGTGTATCACATATATATCATATTTGTATCAATTGTGTATCACGTATATATCTGTGTGTGAGATACATGTTTGATACTTGTGTCGCAGAAGAATTTTTTGAACTCGATTTGATTACGAATTTTGATACAAAACCATTCCAAATCACCTCCAATCTTACTCAAATTTTATATATTGACTTATCTATATGTTTTCAATGAATTTCAACTATACCCATTGAAAAAGTTCCTTTT